CGGGATTGGGCTGAAACCGGTTCTCTGACATCCCCTGAGGGGTCCCAGGTTATGAGAGGGTGCAGGCCAGGGTGAGGGACCCCACCAATGCATGATCGGGCCGGGGAGGGACCAAGGGAGGACTCCAGGGCATGTCCGGCCCATCTTGCTCAATCAGCCAGACCCCAGCAGCAAGCTAACCCACCTGTCGGAGCATCTGCCCCCTGGTGGTCAGTGCATGTCATAGCAACTGGTTGACTAGTTGACTGTCTGCCTCCTGGTCAGTGCAAGTCATAGCAAGCAGTTGAACAGCCTTAGCATATCAATAGCATATTATGCTTTGATTGCTGTTTGGTCTATTTGCATATCACCCTTTTATTATATAGGTTGGTGATGATTTTGCAAAAGATTTAACTAAAGAGACACTTAACATTATTTAAGTTTATACATTTAAAATTTTTTGGTTTATAAAAATTTTGTATTTAGCCCTGGCCGGTATGGCTTGGTTGGTTTGAAAGTCATCCTGTTCACCAAAGATGGTGGGTTCAATTACCAGTCAGGGCACGTACCCACGTTCGATTGCTAGTTGGGGCATGTGCAGGAGGCAATATATTGATGTTTCTCTCTCTCTCTTTTTCTCCCTTCCTCTAAAAGATCAATTAAACTTTTTTTGCTTTCAATTTTGTATTTATATCTGGGGACATGTAATATATAACAGAAAACAATACAGGTATGCATAAGAAAAACAAATCTGGTTCAACAAGGTGAACAAACAACAAATACCACAAAATAATTTTAGAGTGACCTATAAGAATATTCAGGACTTATAAGAATAATGATATTATATAACCAAGAGGGGCTTTGGAGTCTCTTTCTTTAAAGTCAAGTGTTCTGTTCTATGTATACTTCTGAACAGAATCAGATCTTCAGACTTTTAAGCCTAAAGGAAAGCAATGTTTTAGTTTCCACCTGTATTTCTGGTAGAAAGAAACTTTGGAGGAGTACTCACTTAAGCACTGGCAGGTTAGTATTTTATTGAGATTGTCAACATCTTTAACAATGAAACAATATACATTATTGCAAATAGGGAATGAGACAGCTTCCCTAGGAATCTCTGGGAGGCGATTCAGAAACACAAAATCATGCCATTATCTTCTGTAGCTAGCACAGAAAAATATACCATACTCATACGTTTTATAAATAATTGCCAGTCTGGCCTAACCAACAATCTTTGGTAATAGTGCCTCTTGATAAATACAGACAGAAATTCCTTTTCAAACCAGAAAACATTCTAGCCCCATTTTAAAAGCAGACATCAGAGCCTGGCTGTGACAGTAAGAAAAGGAGAGAGGAGAGTACAAATGAGCCTGAAAACTCATAATTCAAGTTCATTCTGAGTGAGTTCCTTGATTCTGTCCATGCAATGATCAACAGCATTAATGAGTAAAGGGATCCAACTATCTTCTGGTTGTGGGGTTACATGACTCGCTCTGTGAATGGAATGGGGGGAAAAAAGAAATGGAATTTATTATATTGTCAAAGGAAAACATACCTTCAACAGGAAGCACAGAGGAAATCAAATTAAGAAAAGGCAAGTTTCTCTGCAGAAGCTCAGCTGCTCCACAACTGAAGTTGAAAGAAAACTCCATACCCGCTCCTTCAAATGGGCGTTTGGGAGTTGAGAATGGCTGGATAGGTTTATTCTCAAACATCTATTTGGGGAAAAGTCCTCATACTCACCTTGTAATTTCAAGTGCCTTCTTTAGAACAGACACAAGTTTTGCAGCCTAGAAAAGAAACCGAGGAGGTTTATTTTTATGGTAAGGACTCACCCAGATTTTGGATTTTTTACTATTTAACCAAATCTTAATAATACTGTTGCTGCAACACTTTTACAAGATTTTTGAAAAAATACTTTAAATTAATAAAACAGCAAAAGGACTATAATCTGAATTTGTCCCAACTTCTGATAGTTCTAAACATATAGTAGAAACAACTAATGTTTTTCTTTTAAAAAATCTACGTATAACCCTGGCCAGTGTGGCTCAGTCAGTTGAGCACTGTCCTGTGTACCGAAAGGTTGCCGGTTTGATTCCTGCTCAGGACACATGCCTGAGTTGCAGGTTAGGTCCCCCATAGGGGTGCATATTGGAGGCAAACAAGTTATGTTTCTTTCTCTCTCCCTTCCTTTCTTTAAAGTCAATAAAAAATATTTTTTAAATCCTAATTCTTTTTAAAAAATCTATGAACACAATTTTAAGAACATCAACGACAAGATAACATGAGGATGTATGTATGCCATCAATATATAATACATATTTTATATTTTTACTCAAGGTAATTGAGAAGGCATATTGCTAAAGATGTTTATTTCTTAGGAAGTCAATTTTTTAAAAGTGAATACAAATTTAAAAAGTTAATGCCAAAAGAATCCTATTCTCCTTCAAGGTGTTTGTATATTATGAAGATACTTTGATGTATCTAATTTCCACTATTTAACTTATCAAATATGATTAGGATTGATACATCTGATTGTAGAATATAAGCCATTTTGGCAGTTTACTTCTTTCAATAACGTTAGAGATAAGAACTTTAGTTTATAAAAATAAAATAGAACTCTCTCTAGCACAGAACCCAGGACTTCAAAGAATACAATATAATCAGATTTTATAAAGAACTTGATCCTCCATGGTTAAATCACATAATGTGTTTATATTAGAACAGAGTTTTTTTCTGGAACACTTATTTCTGCCTATAGCAGAAATTAGAAACAGGTGACTTCAGTTGAGAAGATCTGAAAGCACTACAGTAATTAAGACATTCTCTTCAAAGAAGCATTTTCTAAGGGCTTTGGATTTTTCTAAATGATTACCCAGGTGGCTACAGAAAACAGTACTACCAGAGCTCATGGCTATTATAATTCAGCAAATATTTATCAAACACAAAACTCATGTAAGAAATATATTACTGTTGTACTTATGTCCAAGTGTTCAGAAATGTATTTCCTACAGCTTAAAGAAAATGCTAGTAGTGATTGGTAAAATTCTACCAATTAGGTTTCTCAACGCAAGGTACTTACACTCATTCGCACAGTCGGGTGGCACATGGGTGGATATATACTTAGAGCCAAATCATCCACACTAAGGGCAGAAAGTAAAAATAACCATTAACAAAAAGTGAAACAAAGCACAGCTATGTGGCTCTAGCACACAACTAAGGATGCAAACCAATAAGAAAATGACTGCCCCAGAAATGCCTATCAGTTCCTTAAATTGGGCAACCAATAAACAATCAACTCAACGGGTATTTACTGAACACATATATACCCTGTTTCACTAGGACAGTGATGGCGAAGCTTTTGAGCTCGGCGTGTCAGCATTTTGAAAAACCCTAACTTAACTCTGGCGCCGTGTCACATATAGAAATTTTTTGATCTTTGGAAGCATAGTAAAACAAAGACTTATATTTTTGATATTTAATTTATATATTTAAATGCCATTTAACAAAGAAAAATCAACCAAAAAAATGAGCTCGCGTGTCACCTCTGGCACACGTGTCATAGGTTCGCCATCACTGCACTAGGAGAAGACATGATCAATTCATTAAAAAATGTGAGGATCTGAAACCACCAATTTAATAACTAATACAGGAGGGGTTCGTCCATATAATGCCACCAAAGTGGGCACCACTTAACCAAGTGACCAAATTTAGTTCCACCAATAATGGGACAAATTAACATCACGTGACACTCAAAGTAACGCGATGAGAAGCCCAAAACACTCAACTATGTTATTCTTGCCAAAAAATCTTTAAGTTGAATAGATGATCAAGAAAAAACAGTCACATGAATCTAGATTGTTGGATATTCTACAAAGATTATTTTAAATTGTTAATGTGAATTCTTTAAAAGTTGGATTTTTAAAAATGTCAATTAAGAAAAAGACTAAAAAAGACAGGGGTTGTTCTAGTTTCAAGAGACCAAGGAGATGACCACCAAATGCAATGTGACGCCAAGACAGAACCTTAGATTAAAAAAAAAAATTCTGTAAGATATTTTAGAGACAATTGGGCAAATTTGAATATTAGATCATATGAATTTGTTCAATGTTAAATTTCTTGGCTATAATAAGAATAAAAGTATTTAAAGGTGAAATGTCACTGATGTCTGCAACTTACTCTCAAATGGTTCAGTGGGGAAAAAACGGCACATCTATCTATAGAGAAATAAACCGATATAGAAAATAATGTGAATAATAAGTGAAGGATATGTGTGGGTGCTCGCTGCAATACTTTTTCAACTTTCCTGTAGGCTTGAAGATTTTCAAAATAAACTGGGGGAAAAACTGGGATGACAACACAAGCAGAGATCAGAATTGCTGCTCAGAATATCAGAACTGATATTTCAAGTACAGCTCACACTTACCTAGGGCTGATCTCATCAGAAATATCCACAATGTCATCCAGCTGGGCCACCTGGTCCTTCTTCCCATGCTCTGCCACTGAGATCCGGATTTTCTTCAGGCAGGCTTTGGATGCTCTCACCAGCGCAAGGCACGGGATTATCAGCTCTTGATCTTCCTCTGACCAATATGAGTCCTGATTGTTTGGACACCCCAACACATCATCCTGTTCATTACCATGGTTGTCAGAGTTGTCCTCCTCATCATCATTCAAGAGGCCATGGTAAGGGTCACATTCTTCCACAGCCTAAGACATACCACATACATCATTTATGTGAATGCCAAAAAAAAAAAAAAAAGCCTGTTGTACTTTCAGCATCATGTCTGAGTTGTTCCAAACCTCAGCTAGCTACTTCACTAATGGCGACAGAGTTGGGTCACTGCATAAACCCTCTCTCTCTCCTAGTCCAGCAATGGGACAGGGGAGTGGTACTAAATCACACACCAGCATGGGGTGCAGGTGGGAGATGGAGGATAGGAGTGAGGCTGGGACTTATTCGGCCAGTGCTCAGGACATCTCCTGTCTTTATAACCAATTCTCATCTACTAGTCACAGTTGCCTTCCAATGACCAGCAAAGATAGATGTCGTCTCACCTGCTCCATTTCCTCATGTGCATCCTTCACTAAATCCACACTCTTTGTCAGCATTAAAAGGGCTGCAGCTTTGTTATCTGTATGTAAAAAATTAGAGGAGAAACCCAACAATTCTCTGAAGTCTGCAAAGGGCAATCAACAATGTCCCCATTTGAAGGGAGTGCCAAGGACATTCAACAAGGCCAGTGGTTTAATGTAAAATTCTCACATACATCCTCTGGATATCCAAACAGGGGGCTAAAAAGCTTATCATTCACTGCAAATAAAATGGTCACAAGGTGTTTCTCAATGGTCCTCTTGAATGACCACAATTTTTGACCTAGCTGGTTCTACCTCATATCTGCTTCAGTGTGTCTCATAATATTGAACCTGGGGCCATGGCCAGTATGGCTCAGTTGTTTGGGCATCGCCCCATGTACCAAAAGGTCACCAGTTAGATTCCCAGTCAGGCACATGCCCAGGCTGTGGGCTCGATCCCCAGTAGGGGGTGTTGCAGGAGGCAGGTGATCTGATTGATGCTTCTCTCTCACATTGGCCTCTCTCTCTCTTTCTCTCTCCCTCTCTCTCTCTTCCTCCCTCTCAAAAATAAATATAAGCTTTTTTTTTTTTAAAGAAAAGAAATACTGACTCTGGGGCAGGCAGGACCAGGAGAACAAGCCATATGGGTTCAATAAGAAGCAGAGCCACAGCAAAAGGGGAGTTTGAATTAAGAAATATGAGAACTAAAAAGACTGGCAGGAAGTATTAATACCTATCTTTTGCTATTGGTAATAAAGTATATATATATGACTAAACTCTTTATGTAAGTTAAAATGTATATATGGTACAAAACTGGAAGCTAGTATGAGAGGTCTGTCTGCTTTGGCCATCAGAGTCAATGACCCACTTCCCACTCTTACCCACCTCTTGGTATCTGAGGCACCTGCTCGCACGCAACCCAGACATTGTTGCAAGAAATAAGGTCATTGTTCTCAGGGCTGAGGAAAGGAATCAATAAGGACATATCAATAACCTAGGTTCCTGTCCTAAAGAGCGCCTTCCTCCTGGTTATTACTCTCAGTTACGCTACAATTTTGCTGCTGAACTGAGCTTTTATCCCTTCCTGATACAAGGAACCCCATTAACTAATACTCAACCGTGGCATCACTACCTCTGAGCTGGAGTGGTGCAAAGCACTTCCACAAGCTGAGCCATGCCATCCACGATGTCCAAAGTGGCGTTCCGAACCAGCTTCCTCAGAGTGATTCCTGTAGCCAAACCCAAAGACTAAGCAGCCGGTCTTCTTTCCAGAAGCCAACATCTACTTTCCTCAAGAGTATAAGCACGACAGAACTTAATGTGCACCCACATGCTGTAATTGGAGTGCCCACACAAAACAGGTCGACTTATGTCCCCATGTCATTTTCTTGCTCTTCCCACCATTCCTGACTGCTGATTATAAGAAAGGCATGGCCCTAGCTGGTTTGGCTCAGTGGATAGAGCGTCGGCCTGCGGGTTCCAGGTTCAATTCTGGTCAAGGGCACATGCCCGGGTTGCGGACTCTATCCCCAGTAGGCAGCTGATCAATGATTCTCTCTCATCATTGATGTTTCTATCTTTCTCTCCCTTTCCCTTCCTCTCTGAAATCAATAAAAGTAAAAAATAAAAAAGACGTGGAAGCCACTTAATGTATAAGGAAACTCAGCAATAGGGTGTGATATAATATGGGTGGAGACTGGGGATAGCTTGGGCCTGGGTAGGGGGTGAGACTTAGCCAGCATCTGTGATGGGATATTGGGTTAGAGAGGAAGGAGTTAGTGAGAATGAAAAACCTTAGAGTCAGGTAAGGCGAGGGGGATGGGAACACAGCATCTATAGCTGAAGGCTTATTTACAGAGGTCACTTCCATTATGAAGTTATCTTTGCATTTTATGAGGAAGTTACATTCCCTGCTCAAATTGAGGGCAAGGTAAAGTTTCAGTAAGGGGGATGGGAACACAGCATCTATAGCTGCAGGCTTATTTACAGAGGTCACTTGCATTATGAAGTTATCTGCATTTTATGAGGAAGTTACATTACCTGCTCAAATTGAGGGCAAGGTAAAGTTTCAGTACATAAGCTGTCACATTAGCCAAGGTCTACCCAATGTTTATGTGTGACAGTGACTTACCCTGATCCTTGGGAAGCGAATAGTATACTGCAATAATTGCCTTGATGGCAGCATGGACTTGTTCACAGAGCCTCTGGGCTTCCTATGAGGAGGTAGACCAATTTGAGAATGAAAAAGGAAATGGATTAGATCAATCTGGTCAACTCTTCTACTCTGGAAGGGAGAAGACAACGGTAAAGCATCACAAACCCTTTCTAAAGTCCTAGTATGAGTTAGGCCTTGCGCTATTCTCATCACATATTAGAGAGAAGTTAGCCAGACACCAGGTACTGAGCTGGTAATTCAATAAAACATGAAGAAACAGCTGGAAAAACTTATTCTTGATTTCTGCTGTGAAATATTCACCTTACCTTAGACCAGGAATTGGCCAACTATGGATCCCTGGGCCAAGTCAGGTGCACTGCCAGGTTTTTTTTAATAGTGTTACTGGTACACAGTCATACTCTTTTGTTTACATATTATCTATAGTTGTGTTTGCACTACAAGGGCAGAGTTGCGTCACTGGCCTGCAAAGCGTAAATATTTATTATCTGGCCCTTTACAGAAAAAGTTTGCCTATCCTCTTAGACCATTAACCAGGTGTCTGTCTCTCTCCTTCTCTAGTTCCGCAGGATCATAATATACCTAAAGGTAATAATGGACTCTACAATGTTCAGTGTTGACTATTTGCCTTCTAAGCAGACACTGACTTTCACTTATCTTCCTTGTCCTCATTTAGCTGCTAAATTTTAAGCCAGTGCTACGTAAAATGTGCTCTACAGAATGGTGCCAGTCCCCAAACTGTTTACTAGTCTGGGATGGATAAGTACAGCGATTGAGAGTGTTGAGAAACTTTTATGGCAATTTGACATTCCTTCAACATCCAAATACATAAGTTTATAAAAGGAAAAGTCCGTATGCAACTGAAATTAAAAATAAATACAACTATTATTCAGTAAGACTAGCATGCTGAGATCCTAAGCAACTGTGATTCAAATATATATAATTCAAATAAAACCAAATTCTAATTTTCCATCTGAGTGAAACCACTGACCTAAGCATGTACAGAAAATAGTTCTATGCTGCCTCCTCATGGTATCTTACTAGCTGTGAATTTTAGCAGCAAGTCCTAAGAATATTTGAAAGAAGGGAGTTGGCAGGTAAGAAAAACAAGGTATTATTACTACCTCCCTTTGAAATAAATATGGACTTTCTTCCACAAAGTTTTTCAAGTGCTCTCATAATTCATCTCATTTCCTCATCACAGATCTCTTGAGTTATGTAGGGGGAGAGAGTTTATCATTGTAGGTGCAGCAAAAGAGTATTTTTCCATTTCAAAACATCTGGAAATATAGATTGAGCAAGAAAACGAAACTATTAACTGCGAAAATCAAATAAGGCAATGAGTATGCCATTTTTAAATAAATTTATCCCAAATTCAGTATACCTAGCTCTAGAAAAATTGGGCATAGAGCACACTTGGTCACAGTTGACATGTTTATTTTCATTAGTTTTATAATAAAGGGGTTATTAAATGCATAAAGCCTTTGTTCTAGCAATTCCACTTCCTGGAATTGTTTTTGTTGTTGTTGCATATGTGCGTGGGTTTTTTTTTTTTTTTACCAATATACACACATATAACAAGAATGTATTAGGCAATTTACAGCACTTTATAATAGCTACAAATTGGAAACAGCTTAAATGTCTACATAGAGTACTGGCTACTTGAATTATGGTTATATGCTCTCTACTCAATACCATGCAGCCATTACAAAGAAATGAGCAACTTCATATGTGCTGCTGAGAATCAATTTGCAAACTATATTGTTAATTTTTAAAACCTTTTTAAAATACTTTTATTGATTTTTTACAGAGAGGAAGAGAGAGGGAGAGAGAGTTACATCGATCAGCTGCCTCCTGCACACTCCCCACTGGGGATGTGCCCGCAACCAAGGTACATGCCCTTGACCGGAATCGAACCTGGGATCCTTCAGCCCGCAGGCCGACGCTCTACCTACTGAGCCAAACCGGCCAGGGTGTTAATTTTTTTTAAAAAGATCCAGAAAAGTGTTTATGGCATTCTGTCATTTGTGTAAAAAGAAGCAGGCATATATACATAAATGTGCACATGCATAGAATACTTATGAGTAATTCAAAAGGAACTGGGGAACGGAGAAATAAACTTTGTAGCACACTTAACTTTGATTATCTTTTAAATTTTATACTGTATACATTGTTACTGATTAATATAAAAAATAATTGAATATAAAAAGGGATGTAGCGTAACAAAAAAGGTATAGCTTAGACATCTGATAGATCCTAATTTAAATCCTAACTCACTGCTTATACGCCTTAACCCTAGCCTCTGAGCCTGCCGACTCATCTGCTAGATGGGGGTCAGTTATGTGAAAACAAATAGCAAGTGCTTAAATGACCAGAAAGGTAATAAGCTGAACCAGTTCTACTTAGAAGACCAGCCTACTCCAGGCCAGGCCCTGCACGTGGCAATGTGGTCCTCACAACAATCCTGGGGGGGTGAGAACTGCAGTCCTGTTTGACAGCTGAACTCAGAGGTGGAAAGATGGAGAGAGGATTCCTAAGGAATCAGGAGGCAGCACGGGAACTCAAAGCCCACCTGTGCGGACGGCGGTGGCCGCGGGAGTCGAACGAAGACTTCGGTGAGAGTCGTGGCTTCCCTGGACACCTTCTCGGCTGCCTCATCTGGGGGCGACAGCGGGGAGGGCAGGCGCCTGTCAGTGCCCACGGGACCAGGCTGCCGCGGCTGCACGGGCTTTAAAGATAAGGCGCTCCCTCTCCACCCCTACTGGCTGAGACGTCTCAAAGCACCTCCCCAAACCGGTGTTTACTGTTTCACCCTCCGAGGTGCCGACGGCGGGGCAGGTGAGGCACCCCGCAGAGAGGATGCGGGGGGAGGGGAGAGCGGGAGGGGCCAGGCGGGTCGCTGGAAGCAGACGGGGGGCGGGGGTCCCCAGCAGCAGAGGCACTCACTGAGTCGGCTCCAAAACGTCTCCCGGCTGAACTCCTTGGCGGTCTCCAGGGCTTCG